TGGGCCGGGGGCTGGGCTGGGACTCCTGGGCTTCCTGGAAGGTTCCGTGAGGGGTGAACATTGACGCAGGACCAGCTCTGGGCTGCACGTGCTGGGCCCCAGGCCCTCACTCTCAGAAGCCCCGGGGGAGCAGAGTGGCCTGAGCTGTGACAGGCACAGGGTGGCGGGGACCCTAGAGTTCCAACCCCCCCAGGACGAGGTGACGAGGGAACAAGGATGCTCGTAATAATCCTGCTGGGACAGCAGGGGTCAGCCCGGGCCTTCCGAACTGGGCTGCGTGGCCAAATGAAGGGTAGACAGGTTTCGGGGCTCAGTGGGGGACAGGAGAGGAAGGGGTGCCTTTCATGTTGGACCAGGCAGGTGTTACCACTTAGGTCCCCCGAGATGCGCTCAGGGCCACTCCCGTGGGCGCACAGGTCAAAGCAATAACAATAACGGCAGAGATCATCATGATAACAAGTACTGTTACTCCAGATGCCACCCCCTGGCAGCCACTGTGTGCGGGCAGTGTGGTAACTGCTGCTGGGTGTTTAGGGGATGTCCGGCCACCCCAGGGCACCCTCACCCCCACTCTGCAGGGAGGGGGCGGGGTTGGAGGCTGTCAGGAGCCTCTGCCTCCAAAGCCGTCTTCACCTCTCACATCCGCCGAGAAAGCGCCTGGGCCTGGTGGGCCCGCTTCTGGGAAGCCCGCTGTACCCCATATCCCAGGTGCCTTTCCCAGGGGAGCAGGTGGGTTCCTGCCAAGCCTGGCCCAGGGGACGAGCCTCCGGCCTGCTGCTCCGAGCGCTCTGGGTCCTCCAGGCCGCGTGTCACGGAGCCTGTGTCTGGATGCTTTGCACACCGGGCGTCTCCTCGGTCTCCCGAGGGTGCTCAGGTCTTCCTTCTTTGGAAGAGGGGGTGTCGCCCGGACTGGGTGGGACCATCACGAGGCCGAGCTTGTGCTCTGGGCCCCATGCTGCTCAGCACTGTGGCCTGGAACAAGTTGCTTCGCCTCTTGGGGCTCACTGTCCCCATCTGTAAAATGGAACTGTTAACGCTGGCCTGGTTTTGAAGGTCACGGAATGCAGTCTGTAGGAGCTCTTTACAGAGCAAGCCCCCCCCCCCCCCGACAAATAGCCTCCTTATGAAACAGGGAGGCAGGGAGGGGCTTGGGGAAGGACCAGTGTCCAGCCTGGTGGCTCCTGGGGGGACACGGGGGACATGGGGCCAGGCCTCTAGGCTGCCTCTAGTGCTCACACGCTAAGCCCCCCGCTGGGTGGGAGTCCTCATCTATCCAGCTCCGAGGCGGGGGTCCACGGGGAGCCATGTCTGGGGCCCCTGGGCCCGAGCTCCCGGAAGTGCTCGCTAAACATTTCCGAGGAGGGGCCTCTTGGCGGCCGACTCCAGCCCTCCAGCGCGGCTCGGGTGCCGGCCACCTGTGGTCAGGTTAGTGTGCAGTGTGCGCAGCCCTGTGTTTATCTGCTCTCTCCTCGTTCATTCATTTATTCGTGTCACACGCATTTGCTGAGCGCCGACTTTGTCCCGAGCGCTGCTGAAGGCACTTGAGACCCAGTGAACGCGGAGCAAAGCCCTGCGCTGGCCGGCTGTGCGTGCTGGCCGGGCAGGGAGGGTGTGGGGAGGGGGTGCACGTGTCCAGCTGGTCTGCTGAGCACAGCGGCCAGGCTCTGGGTCAGGCAGCTTCGAAAGGCAGCAGCGGCTTGGGGTCTTGTTACAAATATATTTTCACTGACTTCAGAGAGGAAGGGAGAGGGAGAGAGAGATGGAAACATCAATGATGAGAAAGAATCATGGATCGGCTGCCTCCTGCTCACCCCACACTGGGGATCGAGCCCACAACTCAGGCATGTGCCCTGCCTGGGGATCGAAACTGACCTCTGGGTTCATAGGTTGACACTCAACCACTGAGCCACGCTGGCTGGGCACGGCTTGGGGGTCTTTATAGCTGCAGGGTTTTTTTGTGTTATTTTTTTTTTTAATCTATGGCTGGCAGATGTGGGGCACAGTTTCAGGGGGTATGCAAAGCAGGCAGGCTCTAAATGGCCCCCAAAATCTGCTGCCCTGGGCGACGTTAAAACAAGCGGCCGTGTGAATGTTTGAATCTGGCGCTGGCTGGCCTTCGAGCCGACAGGTCTCAGCCCACTATGGAGCTCACAGTGAGCACTGGGGGCCCATATGCAGGAGCCTTCGGGGCTCATTTCCATGGCAGCTTGTTTATACAGCGTTTGGGTCCCTCCCCCAGAGCTCCGGGTTCAGTAGGTCTGGGGTGGCCTGGAGCCTGCACTTGCAGCGAGTTGCCAGGGGGAGCTCATGCTGCTGCCTTCACGGCTGTGTGCTCGTTGGAGAGCACTTAGCCCGTTTTCCAGTGGAAAAAAAGGAGGGTCCACCGAGCTCATGATGGGCAAATTTCTTGTAACCACCAGCACGTAGTAGGTTCTTTTAAAAAATATATGATTTTACTGATTTCAGAGAGAGGAAGAGAGAGGGAGGGAGGGATAGAAACATCAATGATGAGAATCATTGATTGGCTGCCTCCCACACGCCCCCTACTGGGAATCGAGCCAGCAACCCCAGCATGTACCCTGACTGAGAATTGAACCTTGACCTCCTGGCTCATGGGTCGATGCTCAGCCACGGAGTCACACTGAGCCACACCGGCCGGACACATAGTAGGCTCTTAATTGCCATGTAAATGTGGGCCCAGGAGACTCCTGCAGACACCGCCTCTGCTTCACTTTCTGTGAACAAAGGAGTCAGTGACATTTCTGTCGGGGGGCCTCCCTCTGGCTTGGCTCTGGTGCTCATGTTGCTGGCCGGCGTGTGCGCACGTGCGTGCGCAAGGGTGTGTGAGCACGTGCACACACACGCACACGCAGCCTGGCAGGGAGGACACGGCGCTGTCTTCAGAGGCTGTCACCTTGCCAACTTAGAACGTTGGGCGTATTATTTGTCTCCCGAAGGGAAGGGGAAACCGGCCCCGAAGCGAATGATTTATGAGCAGTTGCTTTCGCACCTTTTTTCTCTCCGAGTGCCAGGCCATCGGAGGCTCCCGCTGCGTCCAGGGCTTCAGCCTGCTTGTTTGTATAAACAGAATAATTAAGATTTATTAAATTCACAGCTGCCCACACACTCGCCAGCTCAGCCACGAGATGTTTGGCTGCAGCGTCCAGACACATGAAATGTAATTGCTTTTCAAGTTACAGCGGGGCCGTGAGTCAGCTGAGTTCCGCCCTGGCCAGGGCTGAGGGACCAGGTTCTTCGGTGCTTCGCTTGCCTGGGTGAACGGTCGGCCTGTGCGCCAGCCTGCGGGCAGGGAGAGCGTTTGCGACTGTGGCTCTGGGATGTAGGTTCAGATGCGGAGCGGCCCGAGGGTGGCTTATTTGACCACATTTTATAGTTTTAAGGCTCCTATTTTTTCGCATTCTCACATCTCCCAAATTGGGGTGTCTGATTTCAATCAGGTTCTTCCCGTGAGGATGTGAATTGGCTTCTCTCCACCCAGGACACTGGCCACCCGAGATTTCTTTACGTTAAATTCGCTTGCCTGGGTGAACGGTCGGCCTGTGCGCCAGCCTGCGGGCAGGGAGAGCGTTTGCGACTGTGGCTCTGGGATGTAGGTTCAGATGCGGAGCGGCCCGAGGGTGGCTTATTTGACCACATTTTATAGTTTTAAGGCTCCTATTTTTTCGCATTCTCACATCTCCCAAATTGGGGTGTCTGATTTCAATCAGGTTCTTCCCGTGAGGATGTGAATTGGCTTCTCTCCACCCAGGACACTGGCCACCCGAGATTTCTTTACGTTAAATCTCTGCTGCGGCTTGTGTTTCATTTGTTTCTGTGTGGACCACGCTGAGTGTGTAAACATAGACGGCCAACCTCCGGTAGCTCCAGCCTGTGGTTCAAGTTCACAGGAAAGAGTTTTGTTTCCTGCCCGTTACCACAGCCCTCATCATCACCACCTCCATCATCATCATCCTCACCATTATCCTCACCATCATCATCCTCATCACCATCATCACCATTGCCATCATCCTCCTCACCATTATCATCATCACCACCACCATCATCACCATTGCCATCCTCCTCCTCACCATTATCATCATTACCAGCACCATCATCACCACCAGCACCACTATCATCACCATCATCATCCTCCCCACTATCAGCATCACCACCATCATCATCCTCACCATTATCATCATTACCACCACCATCATCACCACCATCATCTCCACCACCATCATCATCACCATCATTGTCACTACCGTCCTCACCACCATCATCGTCACTACCATCCTCACCACCATCACCATCATGACCACCATCATCATCATCATTACTACCATCCTCATAATTCTCACCACCATCATCATCACTACCACCACCATCACCATCATCATCATCATCATCATCATCATCCTCACTTGATTGTAGCTTCTGGTGTCCTGGAGAGCAAACTTTTGGTTCTACAAGGAGCCAACAGATATATTCTACAATAATAGGACTGCTACTAAGAGCTTATTTACCTTTTAATTGGTGTGCAAATACACGTTGAGTCCTCACCACAACCCGGCAAATGGGGGGCGGGCATCATTGTTTTATCCCAATTTTTCAGAGAAGGAAACAGATGCTCAGAGAAGTTGCTAACTCGCCGAAGGTCACCTAGCCCGTGTGTGACGGCATCTGCCTCGGAACCTAGTCAGCCAGGTTTCCGCGAGCTGGGCCCGGCCCTGCATGTGCTGCCTCGTGACCGTGGGGCCTCCACTTCCCTGAGCGGCCGGCTCTTGGCCCTGCACTCCCGTGGAGGCACAACCGGCCAGCCCCTCTAGGATTTGGAAAGTGTCCTTCTGTAGGATGGATGGTGTTGATGATGAAGATGGTGGTGAAGGAGGAGGATAAAGTGAAGGTGACAAACATGATGATGAACATGGCAGTGGTGATGATGATGATGATATGAAGCTAATGGTGATGGTGGTGGTGACTGGTTTAGATGACGATATTAGTGATGCATCGTAATAATAATGACAGTAGTTTTAAGTACCCACTGTGTTGCAGGCCCTGTCTCATTTATTTCTCACAACAGCTCTGCTGGGTAGGTATCATTATTACCCCTTTTTATAGTTGAGAGACTTGAAGTTTAGAGAAGTTGAGAAGGGGAATGTTACTGCTCAGCCCTTCTCAAGAGTCACGCCTAGGACTCACACCCAGGCAAAGATTCATTCACATAGTAACTGGCAGAGCCTGTAACTCTATGTACTTGTTCTTCCTGTCATGCCTCGAATGGTTTGAGAAAACTAGAGATCTTTGTTTCTGGCAACACTGACATCAGGCCCACTTCACAGATGGGAAGACTGAGACCCGTGCGGTCAGATAGTTGGCCCAGGCCCACTGCTTCCCCTGGCGTCCTCCCTGCCCCTCCACCTCCTCTTGGAGCCCCCGCCCATTCACACCTGCTCTGTCCGCAGGCCCAGCAGTGGCGAGGACCCGGCAGCTTCCTCCGGAGGGTGTGTTGCGTGGCGCTGCCCCTGCAGCTGCTCCTGCTGCTGCTGCTGCTCCTGCTGCTCCTGCTGCCCGTGGGCGAGGAGGCCCGCAGCTGCACGCTGGCCAACAACTTCGCCCGCTCCTTCAGGCTCATGCTCCGCTACAGCGGCCCCCCGCCCACCTAGCCGCGGGGCACACAGGTGACTTTCTCCTCTGGCCTCCGTCAGCCCCGCTCCTCCTCAGGACACGGGGACACGGGACATGGGCAGGTGGACGGCAGAGCTGCCCGGGACAAAGACTGTGCGGATGCTCCCAGCACAAAACGACTTTTTCTACGGTGTTGTCTCGTCTATTTATACTGCACGCGCGCTGGGTGTGACCAGGACCAATGTACAGGACTCTGTGTGCTCTGCATGTACAGGCCCGGTGCGGACGGTTTCGGGGGTGGATCTGTTTGGAGGTGGGGAAGGGGCGGCCCTGGACTGGGGGTCTGCAGTCAGCCCTGGAAACGCAGCACGTCGCTCGGGGTGACCTCCTTCCCAGAAGCCCACCCCCAATCCAGGGCTACCGAGGCCTCTGCGTGGCGTACGGACGAGGCCCGCTCAGCGCCCGGTGGCTTCTGTGTTAGGCACCATGACGACAGACATGCTTGTCTCATTTTAAACTGGACAGCGGATTCGGATTAGAAGCAGAAATGGGGGTGCTCACTGGCAGGCCCAGGGAGGGCGGTGCAGAGTGACCTTCAGGGAGGGCGGGGCCAGGAAGAGCAGCCCAGAAAGGACCAAGGGGCAGGCTGGATGGGGCGCCGTGGGCCTCGATGGCACGGACCAGGGCGAGTGTCGCAGTTCGATGGTGCCTGCGTGTCCTGTTCAGGGAGAGAGACGTCAGGGCTAAGATCTCCGTGGAGCGAGGGGTGCGCCCTGTGAGCAGCCACCTCCCGTGAGGGAAGATGCTCCTGCCCCCCCTCGTCACTCTTGGGCTGAGCTGGTCCTGTCTCCCACTGAGTGGAGGGGAGCCCGTCACACTAGGGAGTGAGGGCCCGAGACAGAGGTGAGGGGTCGGCCTTGCGGCTCAGCCGTTGGAAAGGCTCTCCCTCCTCCTCCCAGGAGGGGCTCTGGACAGAGGCAGGTCCTCGGGACCGAGAGTGCCCCCCACGTGCCCCGCAGGGAGCCAGCTCCGGGCG